TTCCAAAAGTTCTGCAAACTTGGAGTAGTGTGAAATATGTTATTTTATATCACCTATCAATTTTGGAACCGATTTAAAGATACGTAACATTTTTGTTATTAATAATTAATATTTTTCGTTACTGAACTGACCGAAAAAAAATGTCAAAAGTTCTGCAAACTTGAAAGATATATCGGAATAATGTTCCGAGCAGTTGCATAAATTTGCAACCTTCTGCGTTGATCGGAACATATATATTTATCATTTTTTTTATCAGTGGTCATTCAATCGAACTAGGTGGTCTCGGAATAACTACAAAAGTTGTGAATTTTGGTTGCATATGCCAAAATAATCTATTGTGATTTATTTACAAAATTGCAATCTCGTCAGCGATAAGGAACCTTGTGCGATTTTCAAAATTGACTTTTTGCATTTTTTCATCCTCGACAAAATTACAAAAATTTGGCAAATCGAGCGAATAGTTTAGTTTACTGTATAATACGGTATTTAAATTTGCTACAACATCCGCCATTCGGAACCATGTGCGATTTGCAAAAATTGACTCTTTGCATTTTTTTACCCTCGAAAAATTTTTTTAAATTTTGCAAATCGAGCGGATGGTTTTATTTTGGAATTAATATCAGTTTTCGAATTTGCAACCGTTCACATGATCTGGAACCTTGTGCTATTTGAAAAATCGAATAATTTTGGCAGCAATTATCTTAACTCTTAGAGAAATTGGATGTTGCTAAGCTTTATTATCAATAAATATTGGAGGTAATAATGTCAGGAATTAAAACATCTATTTTGTATATATCAATTTATTTTTAAGGTTAAGTTATATCAAGATAAATACGAGCTTAAAGGGTCCATACGTGCAAAAGATAATGGAAAACGGAATAATGAAATAAAGGGCATAGCAAGATAAACATGTATGTGCTGTCTCCGCTTGGATCTAGTTGAGATGTTCACAGCAAATTGCCATTAATGGGAGATTAAATTTCGCAAAAGATTATATCTGAGAAAAATTGACGGGTGGATTTCTGGAGTTGGGAGTGATTCTCGTGGTCGTTTAAGGAGAGTTGATACTTTTTTCATTCGTATATAGTTTTCTACACCTTTCGTGTACTGTTACTTTTTGTAATTCAATGAGAGCAGCGCTTTTCCCGTCACATCTTTTTTCACTACTGTTAATTGGGGTAGCAATTCCTTTTTCTTTAACCGTACGAATATCACCACTTCTTATATCTTTGTCACAATGAAACTGAAACAGTAAAGTTTTCCGCTCTTTGTATGTACAGTCACAATTTTTGAACCGATGAGAGCAACAGCTTTTCCATCACATTTTTTTCACTGCATTGAATTAGTAAATTAATTCCTCTTTGATCGATTTCTTCGACGTCTCCTACAGATAAATCTTTAGCGCAAATGAAACAGTTATTAACTACTGCATCCATCATGAAAATTCTCACGATGGAGCGATGAAACGAGCGACGTCTCGAAGTAAACAATACCAGCCAACTGGTCAAAATAGTAGCATTCCCAAGCCAAGCGTCTAGGTACGGTAACCATTATACGTAAGCAACCGTTTTTATTTTGAATCTACGCGCAGCGGCGTAGATCATTAGGGGCTTATGCCCAATGACGTAGACAACAGAATATTTTTGAAGTAATATTTTGTGTGAATATCATTAAAATATAGTTTTGAATCTCGGGTAAAGTTACACATTTAACTTCCGTCATTAATCAGTAAATTAAGCCATTCGCTCTATTTGCAAAACTTTTGCAATTTTGTTGAGGGTGAAAAAATGCAAAAAGTCAATTTTTGAAAATCGCACAAGGTTCCTGATCGTGGACGAGATTGCAATTTTGTAAATATATCACAATAGATATTTTTGGCATATACAACCAAAATTCAAAACCTTTGTAATTATTCCGAGACCACCTAGTTCGATTAAATGACCACTGATAAAAAAAATTATAAATATATATGTTCCGGTCAACGCAGAAGGTTACAAATTTATGCAACTGCTCGGAACATTATTCCGATATATCTTTCAAGTTTGCAGAACTTTTGACATTTTTTTTCGGTCAGTTTAGTAACGAAAAATATTAATTATTAATAAAAAAAATGGTACGTATCTTTAAATCGGTTGCAAAATTGATAGATGATATAAAATAACACATTTCACACTACTCCAAGTTTGCAGAACTTTTGGAATTTTGTTCGCGAAAATAGAGTAAAATATGATTTATTGCAATTTTAACAATGTTCCGGACTTTGGAAAAGGTTGTAAAATTTTATAGTTTTTTTTATACTCTCCTAGGCATTGCATGTAAGTTTGAAAACTTTTGGAATTATTGTTACATTTTTTATTTTGAATGTCTTGAATGACTGGCCTAAAATGCCAGGTTGGAACATAAGCTATGTGTTATGACGTACCTCCTACCCATTCATATAGAATTCCAAAAGACTCCTTTAGTTATCAATCAGTACCAATATCGCTATCACTATCAACTCCATGCGTATGCAGCGCACCGAACGGCGGCGTGAATAATCACACAAAGCTAGTTGACATAGAACAAGTTTTATATAGATAAAAAGATATACCATCTCCATCTGCAGTCATTTTCCATATATCGGAAAGTCGATCCAAACTGACAAGTAATCCAATGTTTTTTCCCATGTGGCTAACCTTGTCAATTAATAATCGCATAATGGGATCTTTTAAACAAATAGCATTCAGTCCGCGTATTGTGAATTGTTCTCGTTGATCAAAATCATCAACATCAGTAATGTTTATTGGAACTCTGTTAAAAAAAAACAATCATATGTAAGAACTTTGCTATGTTCAATGAACATATTTCTGCCTATAAGTGAAAGAGCTCCGTGTGATAATTTATCGTAGAATTGATTTCTGTAAGTCTGTGCGAAGGCGTCAGCATCCTCATTCTCCTTCATTAATTTATCAATATATTATTACTCGCCTACTCTTCTTTTGATTTAGAAGGATGGTATATTGAAATTATCAACAAATTGAATAATTCCATTTTGAAATTAAAAATACAAACAGAATCAAGTATTTTCTAGCCTTGAGATCTGTTTCATTTTCATATATTTTTCAAAGATTTTTTATACACTAAGAAAATACACTCTGACTTGTTTATGATATAAGGAATATAAGATTGAGTGACTGATTATGTCAAATAATAAAATGTATGAGTTAAAAAAAATGTCCTTGCCTCTGAAGTTCTCATGTATGCATGTGTGTTATCTTTACATAATAGAATTAAATGAACTTAACTTTGAGATGCCGACATAATTATATTTGCGATTTACTTACAAGGAAACGTGGCGAAGTGCCCCCCTCAGATTTTTTCGTTTTGAGATATGTTATTCTCCATCGAAATTTAAGTGAGACATGTTTTGATTTATCTGCGGAAAAACGATTAAGGGGGTGAAATCAACCTCCAAAGTTGAGTACCTTTATGGTGATTTTCGAAATTTCGCATATTCCCAGTCGACATATTTAAATGAATCTAATTGGAAAACTCATGCTCATGGCAAATTATGAAAAATGTATTTTGTTTGGTTCAGATGAGATAAATTCCTTAAAATTTATTATATAAAGGTTGAAAAGTTCAAAATTGTTATAAAAAAAACTGTCGATCGGTTTTTAATGAAATTAAAGAAAGAGCTCAAAAAAGAAGGAGATATATATATTGTTACCTAATCCCGTGTCCCACGTTGGGCGCCAATGGTGTCACCTTTAGTGAGCGGTTGTGAGTCTTTTTGTTTCACCACGTGTTGGACGTAGGATTTTTTAAAGAGCTCATACTCTGGGCGGACGAATCGGATCTGCAAGTGGGTGATTCAACCAATCCGTCTTTGTTTTATTTTTATGCTTTTATTATTTTTAAAAGAAACGTGTGTTTGATTATAAATGGTTATTTACACTACCCTTAGTCAAGTTCGAGAACATTCGTTTTAATTCAATTTCTGATTTTCTCCTTATCCCTCATGGAGGTGTGGATCATGGACTTATCGAATTGATCATATAACTTGCCGCGCCATGTGGTTTGCCAAGGATCGTTCTGATAGGTATTAATTATGGTTCCTGTGGGGTACATAGCTAAGCTAGCGTAATGCTATCCGCCTATGTCTCACAGTTACCTGGTATTTGGAGGAGATATGGTTCAAAATGTGATATTGGTTACCAATCCCACTTTTAGGAAGAGATTCAGTATGGCGTGGCAAAGCTATGTTGTCCGCCAGTATCGTCCCGTGATTCAATGGTTCTTTGGATTAGGAGACCGTATACAGCTGATACTGGTGCTATCCACCCGCTGACAAGGTATCTGTGGTCGGGTGGTTTTTCCAATGCCCGTAACCCTTTCTATTCCTCTCTCTCTCGTCCCCGTTTTAGCTGGTAAGTATCGTTTGGAGGAGCTACGACTCCAACGAACCCGTCTAGACTATTCAGGGAGGATTAGAACTCCTTTACTTAATTACTTTGAAATCCTGAACTTTTCTGTCTCGAGCTTCACCGTAGAAGGTGTAGTAATCGAATGAATTCTTATCACCGTTCCGCTCGGCTTTTATACTCGCGGAGCGTACGTTAATGGTGGATTAAAATTTTTTATATTGTTGCGTTGCCCCATCTATGAGACCCGCCTGTACTATCTACTTCGGGTGATTTAAAATATCTTCCCGCGTAAAGTTTAAAGGGACTCGTAATGTTTTTGTCTTGGGTTTGTTTTCCCTCAGAATGCCTTTGGCTCATTCGCACCTGGCTGATTCCATCATCGGGAATTACATAATCAAAACAAAAACATTGCGTATGCGCTCATAATAAAAATAAAGAATTTTATGCTCCGTTACGGTGCAATAGTTATGTGTTTTTCGGAAGTACTTCGTTTGAAGAGTAAATTATCCCTATGTATGTGTGACCAATGTCCCATTAAGACCGCATTACATTGCTTTAATTTGCCTTTCCAATTATTACAAAGCTCATTTTATGTGTTAATTGAGGAGCTTAGTCCTTTGAATAACATTTGGCTGCATTTCTTACAAAAACCACCCCTACCTATTCTGACTCTCCCTCTGTACGGGATTCGTCGTACACTCAGGGATTTTTGCGTTATATATTCTAAGGGTTTTGGAGGATGCTTGAATCGATTTTCAACTTTAAATATTTTAATTCAGAACGGCAGATACTGTAAAAGCGCAGTTTTGCACTTATTATTTTCTTGAGAATATTGTGGAAGATTGGAATGATAGGTGGCTAAAATTGATAGAGAATAACATTTCAAAAATAAAATATTTTTCGAGACGTAGAAACAAGCAAAACGTAAATATTTGACTTTGCCAGTTTTCATTTTGTTTGCTGCTGGAATGAGTCCATATGCTTGTCCAACATATGCCAAAAATAAATAAGAGCTGCTGTTTTCAATTTGTACTGTAAGCTGTTGCTATCAGTGAACTCATCGCATGCAGTAAATATCTAGTCGATTTTCGCATCTTTTGACTGTAGTATTTAAATAAAGGTGGAACGTATAAGGAAAAAATAGCTAGAAATTGTGACTATGCAACCGATCCTTGTATTTTACCCTTAGATGCTCACCTGGGTTAAGATATTATGTAATTTTAAAAAAGGACCGATAGAGCCATAATCAAATATGTAATAGCCTATGGTCATGATATGTCATAGCGCTAAAACGTTAAGCTAAAAAACTAGTTAGATAGCGCTCAAAAGGGAAGTACAAAATGAGTTTGTTCAGAAAAGGTATGGTTGCCGCACGGAACCATAGACTTATCAAAGATGAGAGGAGGTTGGCATTAAGATAGCACAGGATAACATAGAGACCCGCCATGAGGGCTTAAGTCTAATTTGATCGGTGCAAGTTGCAATGAGCCTAAGAAGTATAGTTACCAATAGGAACAATACTTACGTGTAGAATTATGATGCAAAATCAGATTCTCGAATCATATGATGTATAGCAAGTCCAATTGAGTCGCTTGTGCGTAATTGGATAACAGGAGAGTAGAAGGATAGGAAGTAGTATGAGAAACAAAAAGGTGACCATGCTACTAGGAGATGTGATAACCCGATAAGGATTTGTACTACCGGGGACATCAAAATTTAGTATTTATAGGTATATGTGCTATAAGCCATACCGCGATCGAGTACAAATGAGGAGATTCATGGTATTTATGGAATAAATACAAAAGATCAAAGGCGGTACTTTTCTTATTATCATAATTAAGTTCGCATAGGGCACTATCGGCCTGAATTACTTAAATAATGTTATGTTCATTCATTGTAAGAACATAAACATAAGGATTGAGGATATACATGGTTAGTTCTAAAAATAGATTTCATAAGAAAGAAGAACAAAGAAACCGTGATTCCTATTTGTGATAAAACATTTTTATTAGGCTCTAGACACTCAAGTCATAGGTCGAAGCACTGATTCTTAATTAATATTAACAATAAATACTTTACCTTAGCACTTATATGGTAGCAGGTAAAAAGATCAAAGGCGGAATGTAGTACAAAGTCGTAATGATGTAATGCTTTAGCTGATGCTCGCTAAAATCAAATTTTAGACATAGTCTTTTTCATACTTTTGTAATATTATTAATAATTAACAAATAGTATGGTCATTATGTAATCACTTACGTCAGATGACTCATTATTGCGTCATATCCGTAAATTTATGGGATTTTGATGTAAGGGGGCAAGACACGCTAGTCAGGTCCCAAATGTTACAATTTCGTGGGTTATTTGGATCTTAGACCAATAAGCACCGAAAAGTATGGCTTTTGAGAGACAAAGGAACAGTGACGTCATTAATATCACAATGAGAGAAGGAAATAGTATGGAGGGATGGCAATAAGCACTTTCTGACTATTTTTACAATACAAATATGATAGTTATAAGACAAAGTAGGAACTTTGTTTTGTTAAAGAGATGTATGGTAAATAAGTTCGCTACCCGAAGATGGTTAAGCCTAGGGAGTAAATAAATAGCACCATGTCTTAGTTAATAACTATCTTATAAGAAAATTGTTGTGATATATTGATAAGTTCGCTATATTAAAAAATGTATAGCTATTTTCTTAATTATAAGAATAATTGTAATAGTCATAAGCACAGTACGACAAAAAGATACCCCGTACAGTTAAATTTTAAGAAATAATTAATGTAATGTTAATGGTTAAGTAAAAATATGGTTTTTTGTAATGTTGATGGTGGGGGCGCTTGAGGGGTAGCCGGTCTCCTATAAAAGCGGGAGCGCTGATGACTCGAGAGTTCACTTGAAACACTGGAGGTCCGGGCTACGCGTTGTAGTAGTGTGTTCCACCTGAAAATTTATATTCGGGTGTAAAATAAAATCAAGTTATAGTAACAAGAAGTGAAGTAGTGTCTGAGTTTACCTACCTTCCAATTGTTCAAATCATCCAGGAATTCATCGTCGAGCCAGCGAGTAATCCGTCGGCGAGAGAACCTGCAACAATTTAATACAAAGTGGAAATCCTTGATTTTCATTAAAATCACGATATAGTAGTTTAATTATCGTTCATCCAGGAATTCATCGTCGAGCCAGCGTGTAATCCGTCGGCGAGAGAACCTGCAACAATTTAATACAAAGTGGAAATCCTTGATTTTCATTAAAATCACGATATAGTAGTTTAATTATCGTTCATCCAGGAATTCATCGTCGAGCCAGCGTGTAATCCGTCGGCGAGAGAACCTGCAACAATTTAATACAAAGTGGAAATCCTTGATTTTCATTAAAATCACGATATAGTAGTTTAATTATCGTTCATCCAGGAATTCATCGTCGAGCCAGCGTGTAATCCGTCGGCGAGAGAACCTGCAACAATTTAATACAAAGTGGAAATCCTTGATTTTCATTAAAATCACGGTATAGTATTGATACTTATCGTTCATCCAGGAAGGCATCGTCGAGCCAGAGAGCAGTTAATCGTCGAGAGAAACTGAAGAATAAAAAGGGGAAATTTCTAGGAGTGATCTGTCCATTGGGAGAGTCCGTGGCAGATTTTCTGCAATTAATCGTTCATTGGGACGTGCAGAGGAGACCGGAATCATTGAGAGTTGATGCAACAGGAGTTCATCAATAAAAAGCTTATATCCTTGTTTGTTAAGAATGGTTAAACAAACTGGCGACCGACACGAACCGCCGTTTTTCTAACAGTTCGCAGACGGGGGCACACGGTCATACCTTCTTTTCGTCTGTGGAGTGAAAAACGGTTACAGATAAATGGCGACCGTGACAGGACTCTACAGCTAGTCACCGTACTGGGAGCGATTTCTGAATTTGTGCAACAATAAAGTGCTGTGCGACAAGAAATTCGGGAAGACATCTGAGTGCCAAGTGATCTGAAGAGAATTGTTACGCCAAAAGAGTCAGCGCTGCTCTGTGTAGAGTGCTGAGAAAATTTATTTCAAATTAAAGCGGATATTCTCATCCAGGGGAAGTCCGTCTGCGTTTAAAAGTTCTGTGGTTAAAGTAGATAGCCCAGAATAAAATCAAGTTAAAGAGGATATTCTCATCCAGGGGAAGTCCATCTGAGTTCAAGAATAATTCTGTGGTTACAGTAAATAGCCCAGAATAAAACAAGTACTGTCAGGTACAAGTGCCGTCGGAGACAAGTGCTGTCGGAAGCAAGTGCCGTCAGTGTCAATACCCGTCGGAAGCGAGTGCCGTCGGTGACAAGTGCCGTCGGGAGCGCGTGCCGGTGGAAGTGAGTCGAGTTAAAGGGTATATATCCTTCGACGTTTCAATGAAGCAGTGGCTCTCGATGCGCAGTTTTCGAAAGTTTGCTAAATTAAAAGTTAATGTTGCTGAGATCCAGTAAGGAGAGGAGGGACAGAGCTGCTTTCGAGAGTTCTGCCAAGACAAGGAGATCGCCAGCCGTTTCGAGGGGAAGGCGTAGTTCCAGAACCACGGAGAATCCAGACATGAAAGGAACGAGCAGGGATCATCAATTGGAGGAGAGGACAACGATGGAATCGGTGCTAGAAGACAGATTTACCAGCTTGAAGGAGGCGAACAAGGAAGCGTTGGATCAAGCAATGCAAATGTTGAGTAAGTTCGTTATGAAACAAAATAAGAAAACGGAAAAGCGTTTTGAGGCGTTATTAGAAGCGAGTAAAAAGGATGAAAGCGTCAACGAAGACGATGCGAATAGCGATAAAGCGAGTAGTAGTAAAGATAAGCCAGGCTGTCACACCACTCCGGAGTTAGATTCAAATCTGTTAAAAGTATTAGAGGCCGTCGCTTCGAAGAATGACCGGTCATATTTAAGAAATCTAGCGTTTAATGGTAGCATAATTTCGAATAATCCCAAAGTATTTATAGAGAGATTTGAAAAATATGCGAAGCTAGAAAACAAAAGTAACTCAGCTAAAGTTGTCGCGTGCTTAGCTGCAATGACGGGGAAGGCGGCTGAGTGGGCCGAATTTCTCGATATAGATGATTTCGATGAGTTAAAGGAGAAGTTCATTGAAAGATATTGGAGCGCGGAAAAACAGCGAGAGTTAACCGCATCCATCATGAACGGTTGTTATGATGGGAAGATACACGTTTCTATGGAATCGTACTTTAATAACTGGGTAAGGCACACTGCTAAGTTAGATGCGCCCTATTCAGACAAATGGTTAATTAAACAATTGATCCTACATTTTGATCAAAAGACTTATAGTAGGATTCGAGACATGAGCTTGCTGACGGTTAAGTCGGTGGCAGATCGGTTAAAGGAGATAGATTCGGAACAATCTGGGGAGAGCGATAGTGTAGCGAGAGGCAAGAATGAAAAGGTCGAGTATGGGAATTATGACAGAAGAAGGTTTAATAGAAATAGATATGAAAATAAAGAGGGCAACGATTATCAACAAAATAGAACTGAAAATAGAAAGGAAACAGCCGATACAACGGTAAATGAAAATTTTAGGGGAAGACAGGATGGAGCAATTGAAAAGGAGATAGTTGATAATCGTAGCACCAATGATAAGAAAGAGATTATTAGTAGATACATAGAAGCAAACAGGGAAATAGTAATGGGTCCAGAGGAAGACGAATGGGAAAGTGAACCAGAGACAGATGAGCTGATGGATAGTGTGATGGTAGGAAAAGAGCCCAGAAATTAGTGCATTGGTAGACACAGGCGCACAGTCTTCAATGATCGTTAAAAGGGTAATAACAAAATTAGAGAATGATGGAAAGGAATTTCAGCGAATTCCTATCCAGTCGGTAGTAGTAAGGGGAGCCTTTGGGACCAAAGTAAAGCCTGTTAAAGAGATGGTAGAATTAGATTTTACATACGAGGATTACGAGCTCACTTTTCATTTCTTGGTAGTGCCTGAGTGTAATGAGGATATGATATTAGGAATGGATTTTCTGCAAAGACAGAAAGTGATAATAGATACAGATAGTTTGAAGGTTGTTGTCAAGATAGATTCTAAGACTGATAAAATTAAAAATAATGCCATAGTCAAGACTAGAAGTATCAATACAGATAAATCATTGTCCAAAGATGGAAATGGTAGGGTTGAACTTCAAATTAATAAATTGCTCAAAAAATATGGGAATTTATTTACTGACTCGATCGGCAAAATTGAAGGATATCCTCATGTCATAGTAATGAAGGATGATATACCTTTTAAAAGGTTGACCTATCCTATAGCTGAAGTATATAAGCAGAGGGTAGCTGAGGAAATTAGAAAGTGGAAGGAAATGGGTGTGATAGAGAGGGCACCCACAGAGTTTTTGAATCCGTTGGTAGTTGTCAAGAAACCCAATGGAAAATTACGAGTGTGTTTAGATGCCAGGGGCATTAACGAAAGAATGGTGGGAGATGAAGCCAGACCGCCTACAATAGATTCAATCTTTGCTAGGATAGGTAGTGCGAAATATTTCACTAATATCGACGTTAACAATGCATTTCTGCACGTTGAGTTAGATGAAGATTCAAGAAAATATACGGGATTCCTATTTGAGGGACAGACTTTCGTCTTCAAGAGGTTGCCGTTTGGTTTAAAAACATCTAGGGCATCGTTTACAAGAGCCATTTCAAGGGTGTTAGGTCCAGATTTGGAGCATCGGGTAATCGTATACCTCGATGACATTTTAATTGCTTCTAAATCATTGCAGGATCATATAGAATTGGTTGATAAGGTGCTCAGCGCTATGAGTAAAGCGGGGGTTCATATTGACAAAAAGAAATCACATTTTGCTGTGCAAGACGTGGAGTATCTTGGACACAAATTTCATAATGATAGGGCGGAGATCGCTAGGGAAACGGTACAAAACATAGTAGACTTTCCGGTACCTAGGAATCGTAAGACGGTCCAGTCATTTCTGGGGTTAGTTAATTGGGACAGAAGATTTATACCCAATCTATCTGACGCCGTTAAGCCGATGGAAGTACTATTGAGAAAGGATGTTAAGTTTTCTTGGGGTTACGATCAGCAACAAGCCTTTGAACTAACTAAGGAGTTAGTCAAAAAGGCAGAAGCTTTATATTATATTGATCCAGCTTTAGAGTTCGTGATGCACACGGATGCGTCTAAGGTGGGGACAGGAGCTAGGCTTTCCCAAGTAAAGGATAAAGGAGAACTAGTCACTATTGCATATACCAGTAAGGATTTGAGTAGTACAGAGGCTCGATATACCACTACAGAGTTAGAGTGCTTGGCGGTAGTGAGGGCTTTAAAGAAATGGAAAACCAAATTACTCGATCAAAAGCTTACGGTCTATACAGATCATAGAGCATTAAACTTCTTATCTAAATGCGCAACTGTCAGCAACCGGATTGCTAGATGGATGTTGCTGATTCAAGAGTTCGATATAGAATGGAAACATATTTTGGGTAAAGAGAATAAAATTGCCGATGTGTTGTCCGGATTAAGGGAAACCAAGGAGAATAGAGTGGTAGACGTTAAATACTCTCTAACGGTCAATGACTTCGAGGATTGGATTTGGGAGTTAGCAGAATTAAATGAGGTGCAACAAGTTAGCGAAGAGATTAGAACCGCAAAACAGGGGCATCCAGAATGGTTTTGCGAGATAGATGGTTATATTTGTTCGATTAAGGGAGATTCTAAGAGAATTTATATTCCTTCGAACTTTGCAAACAAATGAGTGGCCAAGGCACACGCATTTTTGGCTCACTTCGGGACGGATAAGGTCGTAGAATTTCTGAAAAAATATTTTTATATAAGGAATTTGGGATCAAGAGTCCGTGGTGTTGTGTCGTCGTGCGACATTTGCCAAAGAACCATATATTACACTAGGGAGACAACGGGTCAACCCTACTATAAGCTTCCGGATCAACCGGGAATCAAAGTGTCATTGGACATTTACGGGCCGCTACCGGTAGCTAAACATGGGTACAGGTATACAATATTAGTATTTATGGATCAATGTATATTACACAACTTTAAATCTGCCGTTGATATTGGTTTAACAGTCCATGGTAATGTTTAATGAAGGTGGGTCTTACAAGCATAAAAGGAAATGGGCCATGAAGACTTTCGATTCAAAGTATCTGAAACTTGGGTACTTTTGCATTAAAAAAAAATTAATAAATTTATTACAGAAAAAAACAATTGGAAATGCAAAACCCTGAGAGAACAATCTAAAATCTTGTACACAATATAAAGCAAAATATGTATATATATGGTTTATCGAATGTATATAGTTCAGACGAAAGTGGCTTTGAATTAGAGATGCATTCTGGAAAAACTTTAAAGAAGAAGAAAAGCAGGTGGAATGTCTTATACGGTCAACTTCATCTACCAGTCACACCATTCAACTGATTATATCAACTTATAGAAAACTTTTTCCACCCCCTTTTTTGATTCTAAAAGAACCAAGTGGTATGTTCGGTCTTATGGTAGAACAGACATTGTTTAGATCAGATAATATATACACATCAGTAACACAGTTCATGTATAAATAGATTATTTTTAATTCTACCATTATTAGTGTATGCGTGTCACAGAATATTATGCGCAAAGAATATATTTTATTTTCTATTTTCAGAACAATTCAAAATGTGGTTGCAACATGTCTTTTTTTTTAAATATTAGTACAAAAAGTGTACTGCTGGTTGATTCATGTAGTGATAGAATACGAAGAGGTGAGTTTTGTAAAAAATACAATCAAACGTTATTGAAAAGATTAAGCTCCTCAATTAACACATAAAAAGATTTTTGTAACAATTAGAAAGGCAAATTAAAGTAATATAATGTGGCCTTAATGAGATATCGATCACACATACATACATAAGGGTAGTTCATCCTTTTAACGAGATTTTTTCCGAAAAACGTAAAGACATGCATCTCCTACTTTTTTAGCTATTTCAAATGCAATCGATTTCGTTACAATCCGATTGATAGTTTCTTTGTTACAAAAATTTTGTAACTTGCAACCCCTATACATGTTTTAGGAATTTACCCAATTAAAACTAAAAAAAAATCATTTTTCATTATTCGCCATAAGTGTTATCCTTCAATTGGTTCCATTTAAATATCATGACTAGAAATATACAAAATTTCGAAAATCGCCCTAAAGGTACCGAAATTTGGGGGTTGATTTCACCCTCTTAGATCGTTATTCCGCCTATAAAAAAACACACTTGTCACCTAGATTTCAGTGGAGAATAACATATCTTAAAATAATCAAAATCGAAGGGCACACATCAGAAGGTTTCCTTGTTAGTTTAAAAATTGGCAACTATAGGCATTTTTTACAGTTTTTGGATACTAAGTGCAGAATAAGCTTAACAAAAATATAATAAGATTCCTATACTCTTATTTTAGCTCTTTCACTCTTCGACGAATTATCTATTGATATAAAAATTAAGTACCTAGAAATAATAAATTCATCCCTCCAATCCTCGAGACGTCCTTCATTTAGCCAAGTATCAGTTATATTCAAATATACTCGTAAGCTAGACAAATATAAACTAGTGCTGATGTTCGCTTTCTCTTTATTATTCGAATTTTCCATTTCAAAATACAAACAAGACAATAGTCTGGATGCGCATTTGTAATTTGGATATACTTTCCAATCACTTGTAACAGCCTGGTGTATTTCGTAAAGTATTTTTATAGTCTCCAGGTGTTTCTTTATATCCTTCAATAATGTCAAGAAACTATTGCAAGTATCTGAAACAAATAGCTCACGAATCTAAATCTGTGGAATGTTTGCATATATTGCATATATTAAATATATCATAATAACATAAAATCAAAAGAACTCCGTAAATACCTTGTTTCATAAAATTTGTTTCTATTTTAATAATTCGCCTTTTGACGCGGGTTAAATGCCATGTTAATACTGCATAGTAACTCTCGTATGTCAAAGGTGGTTGCCTGTACACATTTTGCAGTACATAGTTTGGTTTCAAATAATTTCCAAAATCTTGTAATTTTCGAATCATTGTAAAATATTCACAAAACGTCTGTAAGATATTGTTGAAAGCCATCTGTAAATAATTCATATAATTTAGAATAAAAGTATAAAAATCAGTTAAATTTTAAGTCATCATAACGGTACACTTTAACTAGCACACATAGGACTCGTGAAGTGAAAGTAATATTCACGAATAAAAGTTCGAACTCTAAAATCTCTTGCACACAAAATGTGTGGGCAGCGAGCAACAGGAAACCAATGGCGACCAATGAAAACGTTGCTTTGAAACTGATTTATAACGTTAGGAGGTGGGTCCTCTTCGCTCATTAGTCACTGCTTCAGTGTTCATGATGCTGTTTTCGGTGCGAATAAATCCTAAGATCTTAGCGTCAACAAATTCGGATAGAGTTTCTCATTTTTAGCGAGTTTCGTACGTGTACGACACTCGCACACTAGGGGCTGATTGATGTACATGTACATAAATAAGTGCGTAACTGTCCTGTGTCCCCTTGATCTGATGACTGTTTATCGTTGTATTTTTTCAGTGAATAAAATAGTGTATGATGCTCGTTGCGTCAACTGTTATAGTTTTCGAAATGTGGAGTGTTAAAGTTAGAAATAAATAATTTACAAAATTAAAATAATAATTGGATTTCCAAAGCACCAGTTAGTCTGACGGTTGTTCTTGACTATGAAAATTATTATTCTTATTATTCTTAGAAAAGCATTATCTTTGATTAGGAAAATAATTGTGCAATAGTTATGTCCCCAAAGATACTCATATAAAAAGTTTGCCAACAACAGGATTCTTGTGAGTTTCTCTTTTAACCTTTAGACCATTGGCCTGGACCATTTCGGGTTCCGAGAGAAACTCAAAGATTGTATGCAACGTATCTTATTGATATATTGTAACGTAGCGTTACAACGCTGGAGGGGAGTCCGCCTCCTAGGAATGACCAAAAAATAAATAATTAGGACTTATCAGGTTCGACAGTGAGTTCGGCGGCACAGTGGTAAATGCTCGACTTGACAGTCTGAAGGTATCGGTTCGATTTCCATTCAGCACTCTTAATTTGGCAGCTCTCAGGATAAATTAATTGTAGCGAAAGCGGGCCGGGCACCCCGTTATAAAATCTATCAATTTTCAACATCAAAAGACCATTATTTTTGGGCGAAAATTCCGACTCTCTAAAGGTTAAAAAAATCGAATATTTATTTCTTACATCATTCTTCAACATATAAAAAATATTGAATCATAATATAGTGCCAAGTACATAACTTACTATATACAGTAACTCCCAATTAAAGTGGAACACTTTAATTTTTGTGTATTTCTGGCAAACTATGACCGATTTCGAAAAACCAAAGACACATTTTTTAAGAAATTTTCTTCCCTTACGAATGATAAAGGTTTTATCCCGATCGGATACAAAATGGCCTAATTGCAAGAGTTGAAGTGAAATAGTGCATTTTGGGATTTTGGGAAAAGTGGGAGAATTAGTAGTTCCAGAAGGAAACCTTAAATTTCTAATTATAGCACGGTAATTGAGAGGTTTAAGAGACAAAACAATAAGAAACAGTAAAAAAGTTAAGATAAAAAAATCACTGAATTAAATAACCAGTAAATAAATAAATTAACAAATTCAAAAACAACGACAAATTTAACAATTGTAAAAAATTGTTTTAATTAATAATTTAAAAAACTTCTAGTATGCTACATTGTCAGCGCAGCAAAACGTACTATCCTGAGAAGTTGCCCCGCTGTACACTGAGCATCATTAATGGTGTCCAGCTTGTGGACGCAGTGCGATGAGGTAAGAGAGGAAACTGGGCGGTGACTGCTCACTTATCTCGGCCTGTGCGTGCAACGCAGAGAACACTAGGATGTGAGCGAGAGGCAAAAAGGTCCTATAGTGCGTCCTTTTCGCACAGCACGAGTGTAAACGAGACGGCAATACCATCCCTGAGCCGTACTCGGGAGCTTGGTGGGGTATCTTTTTCATCTATGCTGTTGCCCAGGCTAGCTAGCGTTAATGACCCACAAAGCTCCCAGGTGTAACTCAAGGATGGTATTGCCGTCTCGTTTACACTCGTGCTGTGCGAATAGGACGCACCGTAGGACGTTTTTGCCTCTCGCTCGCACCGTAGTGTTATCTGCATTGCACGCACAGACCGAGATAAGTGAGCAGTCACCGCCCAGTCTCCTCTGTTACTTTATCGCACTGCGTCAACAAGCTGGACACCATTAATGACGCTCATTTGAATTACACATTTGAATACAAGCATATCCACAAGCCTGATAAACTGTAGTCAATTACGGACGATACAGTGAATCGTATTCTAAACACATTCCCTCTGGCTATTTTTCACAAACTTTTCATATAAATAAGAGTATTTTAGTGTTCTAAAGATATTTCAATATATGGGTATTAACACTAAACGTACCATCGACGGGTCATTTGACCCTTTTAAAGCCAATAATACATTTATAAAAAATTGGCGGTATGTTTAGTGTTAAAACTACAATAATGTTTTTTGTAATTAATATATTTTATTGAAATTTTCATGAGTTACTTGACTTTTTGAAGCGTTTGTGCACTGGGCAGGTGTCTTTGAAAGGAAGTAACACTTAAGTTTTAAAACTAAATAATTACGCTATATTCTCCTACAGATTACATACTAGAAAATCACTTAATCACTATTTTCATTCACTCACACACACGCACTCTTATAATTGAGTACAGTTATATTCTCGCACCGAAGGCGACAAGAAGTGTGTTTGTTTACCTTGTAACGTAATTCTTTTCCTTGACCCGACACCGATAGCAAAACATACGAGAACGAACTATCTTCGAGAACCAACCTACGTTACCTTCGGCCGTCCACCCGTCGTTCGTGCATCCGCAAGCCAGGCGGGCGCCAGTCAATTCTTTTTTCCCCGGGAACTGACGAGCCGATATAAACTGGGAGTTGGGGGGAACAGGCCCAACTCCACCAAGAACGAGAGCTCTGATGGAACCTATCAGACGAGGCGATAGCTTAACGGATCCTGTCGATTTTGGGGACGCGTAGAATCGAGAAACGCAACCGTAGGTGCTGATCTTTGGGGTCGCGTACAATCAACAAACGCAACTGGATACACGAACGGGAGCGGACGGTTACGGAAATGCACGGCCGCTCAGGCTGCTAGGTTTGAGGTAGAGAGGGTCGGAGTAAGAGTCCGGCAAATAGTGCGAGAGACAGAGAGCGACGAACCGAGAACGTATCAGAACGAATCTTAACTCTCTATCGAGATCCCTTCACCAATTAATAAATTGGGAGTCCTTACCGGAGCTGGTACAGCTAATCCGTGGAGGTCGAGAACTGCATCCAAAGGACACTCTGGGGAGCACTGCACTAAGGCACAGCACTACACCTCCGTAACACTCACAGGAATTCATAGAATTGCCTGGATATCGCGAGAACAACACGAGAACTGTACGAACCGAGAACTTGCTATACCGTAGCGAAACACGGCAAGAAAAACTATCAACAGATAGCACGGGAACACGAGCCAGCCTGTAACACCTCGGTCGGTGCTCCGAGACAGACTGCTCTGACAATAGCCAAATCCGAGAACTAATCATCCTGATTGGTCGAGAGCCTTATAACCGATAACTCTTCTATCTCCTTCGAGTCGTCCCTTTAAACTAAATCGAGAGCGTTCCTTAGCGAATCGGTACGTGATTTTTCGAGATCCTCCACGGCCGCTTCCCCAGGGCATCGGGCGACAGCTGGGCACCACATCCTTATCTCGGGCAGGAGGTTCCTCTTCTGCCCTTAACCGTATCAAACTATCTCCACCCGCTCTACAGCCCTCTGCCCATTTCCAGCGGGGCACCGGTATCTCACCCGGGCTTCTGCCGGTCCGTGGAAACGTCTCCGTCGGGTACTCTCCTCTGTCGGGCAACTCGGTACGTCGAGACTATCTCCCCACGGCAGATCCATCCGAGCACCTCGACCTCAACTAAACAATGACGAAATCTTACGGGAGCCTTGACATAACTATACGAATCAACCCGAGAGCGTAGTTTCTGAGCTGGGTGGCGACCCGAAGGGAACCAGAAATCGAGAACGTTATCTGTATCGGTAACCGGAGCCGCCTTGGGACCGTGATTCGAAAAATCACGTCACAACCTTTTCGATTTACTAATCTCTAGGAGCGGGAAAGAGATATCTGGAACTACAATACAGCAGATTGCATAAGGCGTCCAATGACTGTAGGCCTGCTGATGATATGTGGCCTCTTCAAAAAATGATAGTTAGGCACATGTGACCGTGGCCGATTCACATAATCGCATACTGACAGTTCGCATAGCAATAAGCTAAGTTTTTGAATTTGAAATATTTCAATAGTTAGGTCACTGAAATAATTAATTAATATTGTAATGACAAAATGTAATATCAGTTACGATTTATTTTCACAATAGATTGCAATTAAAATAATGTAAAGTTTAAAATATTCACAATTTCACTTTCCAAGTAATGATCACGACTGCAATTCTGCAATGCAATGCTGTAAAATATTTAAAATTCAATTAGTTGAAATGTTTTTGTAGAAAAAAAATTCATATGAACAAATTACTTTTTGTCATTAGGCGAATCATAGTACTAGTAAAATCAATCTTGCGCATCAAAAATAGAAGATTTTTAAGTACTTCTAAAACTTCTTAGTGAATCGTAGAAGGAGGTGAAGCAGAACCACTCTTTGGACTGTATCAGGATACCTTAAAGAGATTCACAGGAGTGTTAGAATATTTCTGGAAATTTATTAACATTTACAACTACGATATGCACCCGACTTCCGTTTCCGGCGACGCGGTGAGAAGGTGTTACAGTGATAGCGTACAAAAGGCAAACGGTGTGCGGTGTAAGAGACGGGCAAAGGGACAGAGAAAATATAATGCTAGAAAAAGGAATAGGGAACAAAGAGAATAAATAAGCATAAATAGGTAGGGTAAGGAGGGTGAGCTAAAAGGGGGACAGAAAAGGAGACAGAGAGTGAGGTTTGGCGTGCAGAGGGACTGAGAAAGGCGGGAGCAGGTAGCAAGGAGGA